CAGAGGATCTGGATGACCATGGTGGTGGCCCCAGTGGCCTCATAGTGGCTGTAGTGGCCAAAGTGACAATAGTGGCAGTCGCATTGGTAGCTTCAGTTGGCCTCATTGCTCTGGTGCTCCTGGTGGCCTTGGTGACCATCGTGGCTGCAGTGTCTGTAGGCGTCACGGTGACCACAGTGACCACGGTGGCCTTGTGGCTTCAGAAGATCCCAGTGGCCACTGCCAGGGCTGCTGTGGCCAAGAGGAGCCCTCCGAGCATGGGCGTGTCCCTGGGGCTGCTTCCACCTGAGGGGAAAAAGAGGGAGGGGAGGGGGCCATGAGGGTTTGAGGGCATTGGGGGCCCACAGGGGTGACAGGGGAGCCATGAGAGCGTCAGGGCTGAACGGGGCCATGACAGGGTCCCTGTCCCTTGTGCCCAGCCATGGGTGTCCTTGTTCCACCAATCCCAGTGGTGTCCCCAGCACAGGGCATCCCTGTCCCTGTGTCTGCAGTGGGCATCCCCATCCCTTTCTGGCCATGGGTGTCCCCAGCACTGGGTGTCTCTGTTCCTTCACCTGGCAGTTTGTCTCCCCATTCTCGGTCCCCAGCAATGTTCCTGTCCTTGTCCCCAGCACGGGATGTCCCTGTCCCTGTGTCCACAGTGGGTGTCTTTGTCCCCTCCTGGCCATGGGTGTCCCCACAATGGCTGTCCCTGTGCCCCACCCTCCCTGAGTGTCCCCGCCCCCCCAGGTGTTCCCGTGACGTCACCTCGCAGCCACTCGCAGTTGTAGTTGCTGAGGGTCCCAACAGAGCGAAGCCATGTCTGTGCCCTTTCCCCTGGTGGGGCGAACTCGGTGACCTCAAAGATCTCATAGGGMGGGATCAGCAMCYCCTGCTCTTTGGGACTGGAGGCAAAAAGCTGTTTATTCATGCCGTAGCAGGTGGTCACCATGAGGGATGTGTCCTTCTCATTTCCCTCAGAGACCATTGCCTTGGGCACTGTGGACATGAATTGACCAAACCGGACTCTCTCGCCACGCTTCGTCTCGAACTGGATGTTGCCCTCCACCACGTACACACTTTCACACTGAACGCCCCTCAGTGAGTCCAGGGCAGTGGTCAGCAGGAAATGCAGGGACTTGAAATGGAAGTTGTCC